GGTTTGCTAGTTTAAAATTATTCTGACTTGAATGAATCTAAAATTAAAATAATTCATTAACTATTGGGTCTTTTTTCCATTCCATTTCTGTATTCATAAAATAAATATTATTATTAAAAGCAATTGATGACAATGAGATTGATTGTAGAGTAGCTTTCCATGCTGTAGGAAAAAAGACTCAAATAGATATTATCTGTAGTGCCATAGAGACATCATAAAATACTTTAGTGGAATTGCAAGACCCACTGATGTCTGCCTGAAAATTGGAATGGGACAAATCAATACTATCAGTGTCCCTGATACACATAAAATTACAGAAAATGTCTTTACAATCCCTTTAAGGAGAAATGCCACAAAAAACCCATTGTGTACATTAAAAGTTAAGAACACTTCTTTACAATCCCTTTTACATGAAAATACCACCAAAGATAGAATAGAGACTTACAAAACGTCTTTACAAATCCATCGCGTAAATACAAAACAAAATGCCACCATAAAAAAAAAATACATTAAGTGTACACCTCTTTACAATCCCTTAAAGTAGATACACAACAAAAAAGATCACAGATTTGAATACAGACCTGTGCCATCAATATATGAGCATCAGAAAACGTAGCGTCTTGTTCTAAACAATGTTGTAATGTCGTCTGGGCATTTTCAATATCACCTACAATATATAATAATACAATATCGATTCGTCATTTAAATTACTTGATATGTTTTGGACACAAAATCTATCATCAGGACAATTAGGTACATAAAGACCTAACAAAATTAGATCTAAACTGTGACAAAATACTACAATATCGATTTGTCATTTCAATTACTTGATGTGTTTTGGACACAAAATCTATCATCAGGAGAATTAAGGTACATAAAGACCTAACAAAATTAGATCTAAACTGTGACAAAATACTACAATATCGATTTGTCATTTCAATTACTTGATGTGTTTTGGACACAAAATCTATCATCAGGAGAATTAAGGTGGAAAAAGACCTAAAAAAATTAGATCTTATCTGTGACAAAATAATACGACTACTCACCAGATAAAAACCTGACTTTAGCCAAAAGATAAACAGCTTCCATCAGACCAGGTACGGCTCGGGTTAGTGGATCTAGGACTTGTTGACACCTCTTTAATACAGGATTAGGTGGCTGGCCAGCAGGGACAGGCTAAAATCAAATTATCAAAAATTATTCTATCTTTAGTTCAAATACAATAAGCATGATCAAAATATTTTTAAACTTAACTTTAACCCTGTGCTAGTGTCTTCTGTTGAATAGCGACTAGTTGGTTGCCAATAGTAACTAGTTTCTTTTCAACCACCCTAATCTCTATATTCATATTTATTATCCCACATAAAAGAACCAAAATGAAACATGTTAAGAAGCGTTGGCATCAAATGATCTATGTTCTGTTCGACAGGGAATCGCAACATTCTATGATAAGATATTGACAGAATATATTTTGAAATATCTATAAGTTATAATGAAGAGTTTGTAGTATCTCAAATATTTTCACAATCGCACAATGTTCTTTTACAATATCGACAAAAACTGGTGTAATGTTGAACACAGGGAGAAAAGATTTAGTCAAAATTCTTTACAAATTGGTATAAAAAACAAACACTTACTACTTGAGGTGCATACTGTAGATACGTCTTCATAACTTGGAGTAAAAAATCAGGATTCATGAGACAGAAATACTGGACTCCTAATGGTAGACCCTGAAATAGAATGGAGTTTTACATCCTACTGTTTCTTGTTACTGTTCCTGTTTAAGTCTTGAAATAAAATGAAAGGGAGTTTAACGTCCTACTTTTCTGCACCATGTTGGCTAATGAAGATTTTTATAACGTGTAATTCATATCAAAATAGATGTCGAAAAATCTCACGCAGCACGAGATATTTGTAGAAATATTAACGGTATGTATTTTGTATAAATACAGGACAATATCAGATGTAATATATAGACATGTTTCACAGTTCATTGACCATTGTGCTCTTGAAGCATGCTGGACTTTAGGACTACTATAATTTTTTTACCAGATTATATTTTTGATTGTTCCATCATGAGTTGTGCTATAGGGTATCCTATTATTTGGATCAGGTAAATTCAACAAAAAACAAAACCTTTGTAAAATGGTCCTTCAATAAGCTGAATTATCATACTGTTCTGAATTATCATACTGTTCTGAATTATCATACTGTTCTGAACTATCATACTGTTCTGAATTATCATACTGTTCTGAATTATCATACTGTTCTGAATTATCATACTGTTCTGAATTATCATACTGTTCTAGATTATCATACTGTTCTGAACTATCATACTGTTCTGAATTATCATACTGTTCTGAATTATCATACTGTTCTGAATTATCATACTGTTCTGAATTATCATACTGTTCTGAATTATCATACTGTTCTGGATTATCATACTGTTCTGGATTATCATACTGTTCTGAATTATCATACTGTTCTGAAGTATCATACTGTTCTGAATTATCATACTGTTCTGAATTATCATGAAACTTTAGAAGTACAAGTTATAGAAAAATAAGACTATTACAGTATAAAACAAACTTTGTGAAATGGTCCGTGCGTCTTCTATTACATTGAATAAAGAGATTTGGGCGTTTGTAATATAAAAAAACAAAAATTCCAACCTTCAATCCAGCAAAATGTACTTCAATACAATCATTTAAATATTCTATAATTTTTTCTGGAGACTTATTTTTCTTCTGTGCCATCATGGCGGTCAA